TGTGTCATGTGCAGGCCCCGGGGGCTGCTGCTAGGCCAGAAGGAGTTCTGCTGGGGAGGGGTGCAGTTGGGCGCCGCGGTGGGTGAGGTGTGGCCGCCGTGTTGCACCGCATCGGTGCTTGAGACGCACTGCTGCAGAGGGTGGAAGGTGGAAGTGCAGAAACTGGGCTCGCGCCCCAGCGGGTCGGCCTGCTCAAGGGAGGTCTGCCGGTGGAAGCTGAAGGCAGCGCTGGCCAGGCTGTTGTTGCTGCGGCGGTCGTAGCCGCTGGTGCGGGCGAAGGCGGGCCTGCTGTGCAGGAGGCTGTGGCCCAGGGAGCGGGACTGGCGAGCCGGTCTGCGGGTGATGCGGACCGATGCCCTACGCCGGGACATCCAGGTCATAAAGACATAAATCAGGCCCCCGAGCAAGAAGCCAATCAGTATGGACAGGCAGAAGGCCAGGATCAGCTTGTCTGCAAGAAGAACAGTGGAACATTAAACCTTTGTGGGGTTTAAACATTAGGGCCAGCCCTTAACCTGAACACTGAAGCCTACTTGGTATGCTAACACCACCAACTAACACATTGAAAATCCACAGGCAGCCATGCTACAATTTTGCCACACGTTTCTGGATCGAGCAACCTGTTTTACGACAGCCTGGTACTACACTGAGTACACACACTCTCCAACAGACAGCCTGGTACTACACTGAGTACATCCACATCCTCCAACGGACAGCCTGTTACTACACTGAGTATCCACACTCTCAAATGGACAGCCTGGCACTACACTGAGTACACACACTCTCCAACAGAGAGCCTGGTACTACACTGAGTACACACACTCTCCAACAGAGAGCCTGGTACTACACTGAGTACACACACTCTCCAACAGAGAGCCTGGTACTACACTGAGTACACACACTCTCCAACAGACAGCCCTGTTACTACACTGAGTACACACACTCTCCAACAGACAGCCTGGTATTACACTGCGTACTCACATGCTCCAATGGACAGCCTGGTACTACACTGAGTACCCACACCCTCAAATGAACAGCCTGGTACTACACTGAGTATCCACACTCTCCAGTGGACAGCCTGGTACTACACTGAGTACCCATACCCTCCAACAGATAGCCTAGTACTACACTGAAGTCCCACACCACAAAACAGACATTCTAGTACTGTTCTGATTACCCACACATTTAGATAGACAGCCTCGTACTACATTGAGGACCCACACTGAGGACCCACCCTTAACTTAGTACTGCACCAAGGACCCACACAGCCTAAATACTGCAGATGGACACTTGCAAACAGAGTGTGGCATAGTTTTCCCTGGGAAAAAGTTTGAGGTCAGCCAGAGTCTTGTACAAAATGGTTACTTAAATTCATGGCCTGGCATCATCTGAAATCATCAGTTCTCTGTAATGAGTTTGTTTAATCACAATCAAGTGATTTGGACGAACTTCCTGAAAATGTTGCAATTAGTAATTGCGTGTGTGGTGTGTGTGTGTGTGTGTGTGTGTGTGTTCCTCTTAGAATACCTGACCAAAAAAATAGAAAAACAAAGCCAAATAAAACCCTGGCTTTAGCTTGAATATTTAAAAGGTTCCAGCGAATGATATGGTGCCGTTAATCTGCAGTTGTGTTTCAAATGATGCAATGAGAAAACAGTGAAGAATTTGCAATTGTCTGAAAATGGGCTGCAGTCTGCAAATCTCAGCACAGGGTACACAATGTCCTCAAAGACATCATGGTGTCATGCATCAAAATCAAAAATACTGTAGCTGATTATACCACTAACGCTCCACACCTACTGAGCTACCATGAATAATTGTCACCATAACTCAAACATGCTGTTACTGTGAACAATTTGAAAATACAGGACTATCATAACCACCAACATGTTATCATGAAAAGCTGACATTAAAGTAAATCAATTTATGAAAGCTAATTAAAGAAAAGGTATTCTTTTGCAAATGTGCCCATTTGAAAACAATTTTAATTTTAATTCTAGAAAACGTAGGGAGGTTGATGCCCGTCTGGTGAGGAGCGGCTGGAAAGGCTCACCGGTGAAGGGTGATTTCGGAAAATACCACTGGAAGTCCGTCTGATTCTGAGCCATTATTCCTGCAGGGATGCGGACTTAGCAGGGCGGATCGCGATTCACATGGGGGCTCCCGCCATCACTCCCAGGACAGCGAGCACACAAAGAGCCCCTTTCCAGGGCAGGCTGCTGTGTTTGTGCTTCGGGAAGCGGAAATGTTGCCATCGCGTTTCCTGCTTTTTCCACTTAATTTAGCAAGCGGCCAGCTTATCAGCGCGGAGCAGGAGTCCTGGGATACGTCACCGCTTCCTCTCCCAACGCTTCCTCAGGCCTCAGCTATCAGAGACAATGTGGCCCCCGGCTTCGTCACCGGTGGCTGCTGGGCCGTTCGCCGTTGGGAAGATAAACATGCTGGCGACTCTTTCCTTCTGCTGTCATGTCACTGAGGATTTCTCACTTGGGGTCACCACGAGAAGCATGGCAGATGGCACCAGATGACAGGTGACATAGGGACTTACTGTCCCCTGACAAAATACACACACAAATATTCAGTTGGGTAAGGGTTAATATAAACAGGTACCTTTATACTAGACCGGGGTTATTCAAATCATGGACCTTATGGTCCGAGCCCTGCTGGTTTTCCAGCCTTCCTTTATCTGTGAGCCAGGTGTGAAGCCTCTGACCAATCAGAATCTGTAATTATTAAACTAACTACCTGGGAGGACTGAAAATAAGGCCTGGATTTGGAATCGAGGTCCAGATTTGAAGAGCCCTGGCCTTGAACGACTCTAAACCTATAGATAAGGATATAGGCAGGCCTAAACAAATGCAGAAGTCAACTAAGCGGCTGCTTAGGGCCCGGTGGCCACTAGGTGGCCCCCCATCTTGTAGCCTGTCAGAATGGGAAGAGAGATGATAAATGACAAACACATTAATCAAATTCTGCTTAGGGCCCCGAAAATGGTCAGGCTGGCTCTGGATGCAGGTTAATGGCCCGCTGGTGCAGATTTAGATCTTCTGGGGGGGGGGGTGGTGGAGTCACAGGGACTACACGTTCCCCTCAGTGTTCAGAAGTACATACATGTAGGTGGGGTGGGGGCAGCTGAAGGTGAAGTTCCTCACAGCCTCTTCCAAGGACATCACCTTTACCGTCCTTGCTTAGCCATTGCAGTGAAAACAGCAGAATTGATAAGAAGCGCGTCTGGCGAGCTGACATTCTTTCCAGAGGCGGGACGGGGTTCGGCCTTGGCCGGGACTTCCCACCATTGTGGCGCTCGCAGGAGGTCCAGGCCAAGAGCAGATCCCCGCCCCAGGCTCACATGCCTGGGGTGTCACTGCCGGCCAGGCGCTGGACACTGAGGGCGCGTCTGGGTCTGTCGCAGGTAACAGTTTATTATTAGGAGCCACAACTTCATGTCTAATTGGTTATATCTCTGAACCAATCGTTTTTCCTTCTGCCCTCAGAACATTTTGATATAAGTAAAACTCCCATGAGCACAACCTTCCTGATAGGCAGGGGTGGCATGAAGGGGGGGGGGTAGCATGATTTTAAGGGTTCTTGACTTAGGGGCCCTAAAAAGTTTGTGATGCAATTGGATTAGTCTGGATTGAGGGCCCAATATGTTGTGATTTCATGGGCCCAGCATCTCTGCTGATAGGTCCCCTTCAGTACATTTTGCCGACTCGTGCCTGATCAGTGATGAAAAAACATGCCAGCTGCTGGCTCGCTCATAGTACCTGGCGAAGCCCACGCAGTGCCCCAGCCAGGCTTCACTGCCAGCGACAAAGTGAAATTGGCTCGCTAAGTCTGCCCTTCTTCAGAAGAGGACGCCATAGGCGGCTGCTTATTGGGGTGACAGAACTGGTCACGGTGATCCTGTGCTGGATAAGCGGTTATGGAAGATCGATATAAAGTTACTTTTCTTAAAGACAAAAACCTATCCACCAGGATCTTTGCGCGACAACCTTAATATCACATCGATGGTGTAGCTAAACCAATTAACCAGCAGATGGCGCAAGAGTCCACTTATAATATCAGCATTACCTCTGCTCGGAGGTACAGATATTTTTCAGAACAAAATCAACAATAACTACAAAGCCAGGAAAAAATCAATCTGATTTTTTAAAAGAACTGCAAAAGTGTGCACATTCTCCTTGAAACATCGTGACGTTTAACTGCAACATTTGCCGTAATAGCAAGACAAATAATACGTACGTGAGATTGCCATTACGAACCGCAGAGATTGACAGGCGGTGATTTTTAAATACGATTTACAATCTCTTCTCCTAATGGAGGGCACTAAAGTCTGACAGGTGGGATGGGGGTGTTGTTTTGACTATTAATCCAAGGGATTCCCCACATGGCTGACCGAGCAGAGTGATGGTAGTATTGGCATGGGTGCCTGTCGTTCGGTGGCTTGCGGTGCATCTTAAATTGTCTCGATCCGTATACAACGCAATCAAGACCTAAACGTCTAATTTAAAACCACATCCGCGCTGCATTATGAAATCATCAATCTAATATAGGCGCGATCGTCAGCCCATTGCCATAGTGCTGTGTAAACAGCCTGAAAATACTGCCCTTGTATCGGGCGTATTATTTAACCAAAATGTAAAATTTCTCAAATGAATGAAATAAGCGTCTAAAATCAAATATTTCCATTCTCGTTTTGTTCTACTATTAAATTATAAACAAACATCCGAATAAATAAACAAGTCGATAAACAAGATGCACTTTTATTAAGGAAACTGTATGTGAGTCTTTTATAGCGCATGCAAACGCACTGTATGTGAGTCTTTTGCAGCATGCAAACGCTTGTTCGCAGCTTCCCCGCACGGCCCCGCGGTGCGGTGCAGCGCTCCCGGCATTGCCGCGCCGAGCACCGGCCTCTCCTCCTTCCTCGGGTGACAGCTGCAAGACATCCTCCCTCCCCGCGAGTATCTCCGCCTTTGCAGCCAGCGGTTCGCCAGCGGGGCCAGGACTCGGGGAAGCGGGGCAGGCTCCGCCCTGTGGAAGTGCAATCCCGACCCGCTGTCGGATGTAGGCTTCTGTTAAATTCACAAACCCGTATAGGGAAGCGCGGGAATGGGCGATAGTTTCAGGTTTTATGCATGTTTTTTTTTAATAATGAAAAACGCAGTGTAGGATGAGGGGACACCGCGATTAAGCACGGCGCTTCCATCTGCAGTAATAATAATAATAATAATAATAATAATAATAACTGTGGTTGACCAAGACGCACGAGTTCAGGGATACCACCCAGTTCCAGCAAGTTTGCAATGGGTAAGATCTTTTCTTAAAAAGCTTTATGGCACACAGTCTTTAGTTTATAATTATTGAAGCGCTAAAAGTGTGCTTTTAAAAGCTCTGGGGTTATGGAAAGGGTTTTGCACCTGCGTTTTGGATGGCGTCCAGTACGCCGGACAGGCGTGATGTAGTGCTCAGAGGGTCGTATTTAAGAAAGCAATTTGGCCTTACAGCAGCCCATTTTAATGCTGCTTTCCATAAAGATTTTATGAGGCTGCTTTATTAGCAGAGCTGGGGAACAGCCTACATCCGTCATGAATGCTTAGAAACGGAATTATATATATAATCTCTTATGACTGGCAGGTATATTTTTATGGCGATATGAGTACCCTTGCTTTTGTGAGGGAAGTATGTCAGCATGCAGCATTCTCAGCTTTTTCCTGTGTTGACCACAGTAAGCTTCTCTTTTTCTACTTAAAAGTCCTTTTAGAGTAAGCAGGAGCAGCTGTTAGTGGTGGCCCAGGGGTTTGATATATCATTAGCTAATCTCATTTGTTTCTGGTATGACTCTTCATTTCATGCATCAAGCCTCAGGGCTATGTATTTGGGCTTAAAGGTGCGTGTAGTTCTGGAGGACCAGGGGGCTGTTAGTGCTGGTCCTGATGCCAGCCTTCACTCGCTTCACCCACAACACTGCTCTTAATTTGCTGATCAGCAAACCCCCCCGCCACCCGCATTAGTTTGAGATATGGATTCCTGCAGACTGACACCAAAGTGCTTGTTTTTCAGCTCCACGCGACGGCCAAGATTCGACAAGGCCCTGAGAGGGAGCCTGCCATTGGTCAGAAGCAGGTGTGCTTCATGAGAGCCCTCCTCCAATTGGCCGGCACGCGGCAACGAATCACGCCCTTGAGCTCTGACTGCACCAGAGTGAGAGAGAGAGAGCGAGATAGAGAGAGAGAGAGAGAGGGTGTACAGGAGAGAGAGGGAGCGTGCGGTCGCGGCTGGGATGCCGTGTTGGAGGAAGTAGCGAAGGCAGCTACGCGCTACAAGAAGAGTGGCGTGAATGTTGCACATCTGACAGAGCCATAGCGTTCTGGGGATGCGGCATGGCTTCACCGTCGCAGTTCGCGAGGTCCTCCAGGGACATTGCCAATGTGATGCAGAGGCTGCAAGGTAGGTGACTCTCAGATCATTCCCGGGCTGCCCAGCCGACGCCACCTCCGGCTCGACACAGCGAGCCTTGGAGAAAAACCACCACAAGCCTGAAAGATCGCAGAAATGTTTTTTATAAGCTCTTTGCTCCTGCCTCCCTCCTGGGGTGATATGTGGCATTATTTTGTTATTACTGAGCGGCGCTTTGGCCGAAATAAGTCACAGTGCGTTGGGAGGGTGTTGTGCTTCTGCAGAAAGGCCCTGTTCAGGCGGGTAAGGGCTCCTTCTTGACCTTGGTCCCCTGGAGAGGGTCCTGGCGGCCTGGACAACGGCCCAGCCTCATTGGTCTCGCATCAGCAGTCATGCAGCACGACGCCGGTTCCTGCCCTTCCTGTCCGTGTGGTCGATGCAGCTCTTTTCTGTTTGTCGCGTGTACACTTTGGCATGTACCAATCAGTGATGCACACGCAGGCACACACACACACACGCGCACACACACACACACACACACACACACATTCTTACCCATATTCACACTTTGTACACCCAAAAACACACATTGTCTTTCCTACTGACATGCTCTCACTCACATGCATAGATGCATGGTGACAGGCACAAGTCCGTGCACATGCACACACACACACACACACACACACACACAGAACGGAGAGAAACGTAAACAGGACACACAGGTATTTGCAAACATATGCATTCTGATTCCATGCACACACTCTACTCCTTGGGTTACGACCCCAAAATCACACAATAATTACTAAAGCCCTCTGTTCCGTGTTTGTTAACGGTTTGAATGAAAACGATCAGTGACATTAGCAGCACGGGTGGAGGTGTAGTTCTTCATTGGTTAGTTTCCTGCTTTGTGACTGAAGATTGTGTGTATCGCCGTACCGCTCGTTCCGCTCAGACTACCGTTCTGTCCGGGGGAACAGAGGTCAGACTTTGGTGTCAGCGTAAGAGTCTCTCTCAGGGAGGCGGGTCTACTGAGCTCAGCTGTCACTGCGGCCGACAGCACTCAGCCTAGTCCTCTGCATGAACTGAATGCTCCCCGGCCCCTTCACCGGGAGGGCGTTTGATTGGACGTGTCCGTGTGGGATGGCGTTTGATTGGACGTGTCCGTGTGGGATGGCATTTGATTGGACGTGTCCGCTTTACTAACGTCGGCCTGGCGTTAGGCGACTCGGTAGCTCCTCCCCCTCGTGATGGGAACTAGCGGCTGTATTTGATCATGGCCAGAGGTGGGTCCGCTGATGACAGGCAGGTCCCTCAAGGCACTCAGGACTGTTCCTCACCTGCCATTGCTATTGGCTCCAGTACATGACGTTTGCTGGTGCACCCGTTCGCTGGTTTCTTCATTTCCTGTTTTCAGTCCTCAGCTTCTTTAACCAGCTAAACAGTTTATATACAGAAGGGCAGGGGCTTGGGCAACAGCAGCATGCAGTATTACCACATTGTTACACAGGACTGGGATGAGATGAAATCGCTAAATGACTCATAAAAAGACTCATTGCAGAATATGAGCTTATCCTGCATCCGGTCTGAGGTGGGCTGTACAGAGCTCCACGTTTTCCAGCATTTCTGCCCCATTACTGGTTTGTCTTTTCTCTCCAGTTGAGCCCGCAGTTCCCTACTGACCTTGGTTAAGTTTCCCAGCAAGCGACAATGCCTGGTTTTCATTTTTGTTTTTATTTTTTTTAATCGAGTTAGTCAAGACGTCTTGTTCGTCTACATCAGTCTCATAACGGCATGGCTTGTCTGTCTGGATACTGTTAGGCCATAATGGCGGTTCGCAGTGTTGGAGAGGCTTCACTTAATGCATTGATCTGTTCTTCAGTAAATTAAAAGTAAATCTGCCCCCTGAAGAAGGGGGTAAATACATTTCAGAAGAATATTCAAATAGCTAAAATCAAAGGTATATTTGACTTTTCATGTTTAAAGAATCTTTGCTTTTTGCATATTTTGTTTATTAGAATGCAAAGGGAAGGTGATCAGGAACACCTTGGGGTGACAAAGATGACTCTCTTACCTTCCGTTTGTAGACTTCGCCCCGTGGTCGTCTCGTTTCTTAATTACCTGCTACCGGCAGGAAGTGAGTCACCTGTGACTGGGCCCTTGTTTGAATTAAAATGATCCTGTTTTGCATACAGCTTGATGAGCAATTCCCATTTCTGTAATCGCGAGTGAAGCCATTTCTACGACACTCTTTGTTGGCATTTTCCCCAGTTATTTTATATGGCCCTAAATTGCCGTGCTTCAGCTAATCACAGTTAGGATTGAGTCCCCAATCAAACGCCGTGATATTGTGCTGAAAAACATGCCGTAACAAACCTGATCAATTCATACAAATAAGAGTCCCGTCTTATTTTTGATCGGTTTCTGTTTACTCATTAGCAACTGAACTTTTTTTTTTTTTTTAACAGTATTTTCAGCTATTTTTTCAGAAGGTTTAATCAGTGATGAACCACAAAGCTGAGCTTGGCGGCATTTCTAGAGGCGTGCGAAACTCCTTTACCCTGCGGTTGTGTCAGTGTTTTTCTGTATTGTCCCTCAGGTGCCAGTGAACCCTTTTTTCTGATTTTTTTTAGTGAGTGCAGTGCATTTCTCATTATTAAAAAAAACCATGCCTAAGTCAGATCTTTTGAGTTACCCAGCGTTCCGCTGTTCTGCCAATCGACGTAAGAATCGACAAACAACTGTTTGGTTGCCGATTTGCACACTGGTGCTGTCTCATAACAACCGATAATGTGACTTCATATACTATTCCTTTTAATATTGATTATTTAAAAATTGTCTTTATATTAGTTACACTTGATTCATTATTTATACTGCAGGTTGCAGTGGTGCTGTTATCTCCTGTGAACCAGTGGTATCATCTAAAAACCAAAAGCACTGATGCACTGCATCGTCGTGGCCCGAAACGTTCACTGCGAAACGTCAACGCAGAGAGGAGAGCTGGGTTGGACTCTTTAGTCTCCTCATGAGTCTGTGACCATCGCTTTACGGTCTGTAAAAGGTTCACGGTCCTTCGTAGGCGAGGCTTTGATGTCAAACTACAGATGTTGGTCATGTCTGAAGTGTTACATCCAACGCCGTTTAGGCAAAACACAGAGCGGCCTGCCCTTCTGAAGGCCTGCCCCGTTAGACGCAGGGTCCCCCGTTGTGGCTTTGGCAGTTTTGAAATTAGCCGGTTCTTTCAGTGTTTCGTCATGTTGGGGCCCTGTTACCATGGTGACTGTCCTTTAGGAAGGAAGCAGCCCGGCCGTCTTGCTCTCTCTCTATTCTCTTCTCGCTCTGCGGCGAATTTCCTGTTTGCGGCCACTTTCGCGGCAGATTGAATCTGACCGGCGTCCACGTCTCCCTGCAGAAACATCTCCGCGGCGTCTGAAGAGCGTCCGCCGGCCACGCGCTCGGAATTACAATTCGGCCATCGCGATTGGCCAGGATTTCACACCAGCCCTGACGCTAAGCTGAAGGCCGCATTCCCGATTTAGCTACTGCGTTTAGGGACAGCCGGCAAATATGGTTTATAAGATTGCTCATTTAACGACTCGCAGGGGTGACATCGCCAGCATCCCACGAAAGGCAGATGTAAAGCCAGAGTGGGACGTAGTCGGAGGATGGAAGACTGTCGCGTGCCGTTTTTTTTTATCCGAAACGCCAACACCTCTTCCTTCCTCTGCCCTGAGGCTTGCGCAGCGTTCCGGCAGAGGGATGGTGAGCTGATAAGCAGCAGCGGAGGAAAGCCCCGTGCTCCTTTACATTTCCATGGCTACCGTCTCCGCACGGGCCGGCCTGTCTGTAGCCGGTACATCAGAGTTGCCTGTATAACAATAGGGGCTTTTGTCTGCTCACTTCAATAATGACTCATGCATAATTGCTGGAATCCATAAATATAAAAAAGGGGGTTTTCTAGAAAGAGGCAAGCCGATGGAAGATAAAGTCTTATTCGCCTGGCGGTGTTAAATCTTGCATTCTTGCCATAATTGAGCACCCCTGAAGTCGGAATGAGCGGGACGATTCCCCCTGAAGCGTAAACAAACTCCATCCAGGGTGGTCACAGAAAGAGAAGAGGTGGAACGTGAATGCAGATGGGGGGAAGATGCGGCGTGTTCGCTGCGCTTGTGGCGGAGTGGCGAGCGGCGTGGCCAGCCAATTAGAGATGCCATATGGCCGAGAAGCCGGGCGTGCAGTGTGGGCACCCTCAGCCTGGACCTTCCCCCACCCGCCATGTGTCTGTCTCCACTGCTGTCACCAGTGTTCGTTTCTGAGTGGTAAAGGAGTCATACAAGCCCCCCCCCCCCTTTGCTCTCTCTCTCTCTGAGCTGAGGGCTTTTCTCCAGAACCTTCTGGGAGACCAGTGGCATCAGTCCCTCTCGCGCTCTTCCCCACGCCCCGTCTGTGTGTGGGAAGGTGACTTTGGGGCTTCAGTGGTGGTGGGGGGGGGGAGGGGGAGGCTGGCAGGGAGACAGAGGAACAGATTCCAGTCCAGACCGTGCTGTTTATCCACTAAGCCACACAGTACCCGGGAGCGCCTTGTGTAAAGCTGCCCCCCCCCCAGCCATGGGTGTTCTTACTAATGCCTTTTGTGAAATGGTGTATTCAGCCTTTACACACCACTCAGCAAAGTGCCGTATTAATCGGTAATTGTCACGCAGCAGTAATTGACACACTGTTTTATAATAAGACTGACTCTTTTACCGTTGTAGGAAAGCGTTGGGTGTGTGTTTAACACAGTGATTACAACAAGCTGGCAGACAATAGACACTCCAGTGTTCGGTCAGTATGTTAATTACACACAGCAAGATTGGCAACTCATCACATCAGAAGGCTTGAAAGAAAGACAGCCAAGGAAATGGGTTTTTGACTGGGTTTTCAGCAGCACAGCTAGACACGTGTGGGATGGTTAGATAGATGGTCAGGTACGAGTTGGTTAGATAGAGTAAAGCTGGTCAGGTACGAGTTGGTTAGATAGAGTAAAGCTGGTCAGGTACGAGTTGGTTAGATAG